ACACCTTTGGGGTTGCAGCGCAGCTTCTTGCCACTAGGCCACCAGAGCTCCCTTTATATTATTATTATTTTTTTAAATTTTCATTCATTCATTGTTTTACTTTTCTCCCTGTACAACCTCCCCCCAAGTTTGCTCTTCTCTTTGAAAAGCAAAATTCTTTCATTGTTATACAATTCCTTTATATTATTTTTTAAATGACAAATACATTTTAGAGAGTTGTTGCTACACACCATCAAGTTGGAACTGACCCATAGCTGATTGTCCAGCGAGTTTTCAGGGCCAGTAAATTGCACAGGAGGAGACTGCCCATACTTCTCCTGCAGAACAGCAGATGGATTAGAACCTTTACTCTGAGAAGGTGCTGCCTTACCACTAAAAGCCATCAGAGCTCCAGAGAGAGAGAAAGAGAGCGTGAGTGTAGAACTCAGATATCCCAGTGATGAAGACGGCGGGGCTGGTCAACCAGCTGATCTTATTGCACAAAAGGTCAAGATGAGTAGGAGTTGACTTGACTACTAACAGCAACAGAAAAATTCACAAACATGGAACCTGTGGATAATGAAAATAACCTGAAACATTGCAGTCAAGTTGGAACCAATGTGTATCTGACCCTTCAGCTGGTTTCGTAATCTACAGATGTCTTGAGAGGAGATTGTCCATCTATCTCAGAACAGCTGGTGGGTGTGAACCACCAGAGAAGCATGACCTTTGGGTTAGCGGTACAGCTTTCTAGAGCCAGGGCCACCAGCACCCCTGTATTTAATGGTTTTATTTTCTGACAGAAATGATGCTAGTCAGTCTTGGAGCCAAATGGTAGAACATTTGGTGGCCACATTTCCCATATATCAGTTGTTACCTGAAGTCCACACATCATACACACAACAGGACTCAATTCTCCTTTGCCTTACATTTTATTTGTATCTGGAAATGTCCTATATTCCATTTTTTCCTTTGCTCTTTTTTGAGATTTGATTTGTCTCTTGAACATTTTTTTTTCTTCTCCTGCCCATGTGGCATGAGAATGCCTTTGGAAGAAGTCTCCCTCTTCATTCTGCAAGACTCACTCTGGGTAGAATTTTTATGTAGAGTGGTAGGGATCCATTTAACATGTTCACAGTGCCAAGCAGACAAATTAGTGTGGAGCTGACCCAGATTTCTGCTGATCTCACCTGTCAGAACCCTGCTCCAAAGGCTTAGAAAGGCTGATTTATTATTTTCAATTGTAAACTTCCAGGCCTTTCTTCTGAGATGACTCTAGGTAGAATTGAACTTCCATCCATTCCCATCACCCAATGACTCTTTGTTCATAGTAGTTCCTCATTAAATATCATCAAATATAGTTCATGTCCTTTTCTCCATGACATTAAGCTATTCTGATATTAATATTTATTAGAACATAGAAAAATTAAATCAATACATGATTGAAGCACTAACATGGCCACTGATGAATACTGGAGAGTAGTAGAGTCATAGCCCTCATTCAAATACTTCTGTAGTTTATGTAGCCATGAGAACTCCAGTGATTTGTTGGGCCAGTCCTATGTTGACTTTTAAATGTATCAACCAAAGCCAAAGAACTTGAAAATAAATACTGTAATGCCAAGATAAATTACATGTATAATGTTATTCCTATTAGCTATATAGTTATTTCACTGTCTACTAGTACACACTGGAAGCAGGAGTGGTATCCACTTCTGAAATAGCTTGCCTCTGGAAACTCTATAAACTTGGAGAAACGATGCAAGTGATACATGTGTTCAGGCCTTTTGTTCACAGCGTCGCTACAGTCATCTACGACTCCACTTAACAACAACAGCAACTAAGGAAAAAGGACATCTGCATTTTTGGAAAGATCTCAAAAGGCCCATTGTTCTTGTTGTTGTACACCATCGAGTCAGAACTTACCCATAACTGACCTCTAGAGGATTTTCAGAGCAGTAAACCACAAGGGAGGGGATTGTCTACCATTCTTCCAAGGAGCTGCAGGTAAATTCAAACTGCATGCTCCTTACCACTTAGCTACTAGAACTCCCTAATGATCAATGTTGTTGTTGGATGCTGTCAAGATGGAACTGACTGATAGATGAACCTCTGGTAAGTTTTCAGAGGCAGTAAACCACACAGGAGGAGACTGCTCTTCTTTTTCCCTGAGGAGTAGTTGGTGGATTCAAACCACTTGCCTTTAGGATTGCAGCGCAGCTTCTTACCACTAGGCCACTAGAACTCCAAGGGTCCATAGTGCTCCTGATTACTACTGGACTTTGCTTTCAAACGTCTTGATGAAGACAAAAGAAGGCTTGAGTTTTCTTAACAGAAGTGTCATGTTATTGGTATGCTTTGTCTTGAGTTTTCTTAACAGAACTGTCATGTTATTGGTATGCTTTGTCTTCTACTAATCTCTCTTCCTTATTAAAAATCATAATGATTAGCACATTTTGTATTTTTCTGGCATAGAAGCCACCAAAGCAATCCCTTGAAGATGGAGGCCAGCCAATGACACCATGCCTCTTTGGGTGGTGGGCACATTGGAGCTGTGTGGGGCTGTGGCATATCTCCAGATTTGGTTATACTTCTCTTTCTCTGATAATCACACACTAGAGTTCCTTTCATGAGTTCTCTTCTCCTGCTCTTGTTACATATTTTGTTCCTTTTCATGGTAATAAGCCTGCTCAAAACCACATGTTCCATTTCCTCCTGAACCTATTGAAAATATGTTCAGACCAGACTGATTATACACGAAATGAGTCTCTTATTTTTCTTTCTCTTTTCTGAATAGTCAAGATGCTTTGAATGATTCAAATCTTTTATATTGCCCAATTCTACAGCATGTGTGCTACACACATACACACACACCCACACCCCTGAGAAGACACTTGCTTCATATAATTGGTTCCACTTCTGTTCCTTTTAAGAAATACTTATTCTTTTGAGTCCTAAAATTTTCAGTCTTAAAAAGTTCCCAAGCTCCATATAGTGATGCTACCAAGCCAAAGATGAGTGACTTTAATCCATGGCCCTCAGGCCCGTTTTTAATTGGTTTTGGTCAAACATCCTTCTAGGTTATGCAGCCCTGGTGTGTCCACTTGCCATACAGATGTAACATGTGGTCGCTGTGAAGCTGAACACTGTGACACTGACATGTCAAATGCGTTAATGGTTACCCATGGTGGACAGTGTTTGGTGGAGCTCCCCAATTAAAACAAGATTTAAAGCAGGAATGGCATCTACTTCCAAAATAGCTTGCCTCCGGAAACCCTATGAAACCTGGTGAAAGGATGCAAGTCACACAAGTCTTGAGGACTTTTGTTCATAGGGTCGCTATGAGTCACCTATGACTCATCGGCACTTAACAACATAGACCATTCTACCTAGAAAGGAAATAGATTCTTCGAGGAAATAGTTGAGATTTCCATTCTCCTTGTTTTCTTTATTTATTTATCAAAGTCATCACTGATGAGAAGGGATAACAGTGAGGAATTCCGTTCCAGAGAATTTGATTGACTGGGTACAATGTTGAATTGCATTTTCTTGTAGACAGTACACAGTGCGCTATCGAGAAAAGGGAGAGTCGGCACGGTGGGATTACAAACAGATCTCCAACCGACGGGTGCTGGTGGAGGACCTGATTCCAGACACTATGTATGAATTTGCTGTTCGTATCTCACAGGGTGAAAGAGATGGAAAGTGGAGTACATCTGTCTTCCAACGAACCCCTGAGTCTGGTCTGTATTTACAATAGCCTTTGATTTCCAATCCGGACATTCTCCATAAAATAAGAAGTAGAGACTCTTTCTAAAGGCAGAAGTGAGACAAGCCAGTCTAGGCATTCGTTGGGGTCACATTTTGGTAATATTTTATATGTAAACACAAAAACATTAAGGACCTGCTTCCTTGGGTGTATGGTTTATCCGCCATGAACCTTTTGTGTGTTATTTTCCCCACATGTGGAGCACATTAATTCCTAGTGTGTAGTGTACATAAATCTCCCTGGCCAATGTGTAGCTTATGAATGCAGAAGAGAAAGCTGAAGTCCTGTTTATTCTGGGAGAAAAATTTTCCTCTGTATCCAAGAAGATAATTTCCTTTTAAACATTACCTTTAAAAGCTTTATCCAAATGGAGTTGAAACTAGATTTTAATCTTCTCTGTAATTTTTCAGTATTCAGCAGTGAGGCTAATTCTAAATACCTAAAAGCACTTCTCTAGATATGCCAAAATGTTCATATGAGAAGGCAGAAGTGATATAAGTCACTCTATTACTCAAAGAGCCAGTGTAGGAATTTCTGTATACTAAAAGTTGAGAGTTTTCCATAAAAAAAGAAAAGTGCTCCAGGGACATAGGCTACTAGAATATTCATTAGGGGATTTAAACATCATTTGATTCCTTCTACTTCTGTAGCTCCCACTACAGCTCCTGAAAACTTAAATGTCTGGCCAGTCAATGGCAAACCAACAGCGGTCACTGCGTCTTGGGATCTACTTCCTGAAACAGAGGGTAAAGTGAAAGGTAGGAATCTTACTACTTTTATGATGCAATTACCTGGAAGTAATACAACTGAAATAGTAATGCATAAATTTACTATAATAAACCTGTGTTTCTAATAAAAAAATCAAGGAAAGAAAAAGAAATAGAGATACAACATATATACATGAGGTGCCAATCCTCAGGAAAGGATATTTCATGCTGTGATTCCTTTGTGTGTAATACTCAGGCAGTCACTAGGATGACTGCTAATCTTTTCACATTCTCTCCAAATTACCTTCTCAGTTCTGCTATTGGGAAGGATGTTCTTAATTTCATGTATATGTCAGCATAACCTTTACTTTTCCAAATAGCACTTTGTTTTCATGCTATGTGCTCTTTTCATTGTTTTATTAAGGTCACAAAAAAATAAGAATTTATAAGATTTCTCTGTAGAACCATATATATTTTCAATGAGACCATAGATATTTAAAGAGTTTTGAAAAATTCAAGTAATTGCCAGAAAATTTATTTATTACATGTTTGTCAGCCCCCCTCTTTTTGAGAGGAAAGGGATGGCTAGGGAAACACACTTACAAACAAACAAAACAAAAATCCTATGGATTAACACCCTAACAAAATATTCCCAGCTAGTTAAGTTTAAAAATAGCATCTGTTGAGAATACTTGTAACAATTTTCTTTTTCTTGTAAAAACATTCAAGATCCTTTCAAAATTAGTGGGGAAGTCTTTTAAAAGGCAATGTTGGAATTGTTTTTCTGACATTGCTACATGAAGGTAGCGTAAGGGTAGGAAGGAGTGGAGATTTGATGCAAGAAAAAAAAAATATTCAAGATTTGTAAGATACTTTCAAGTCTAATGTTTATAGAAACTTTGAAAAGTTTGTGTAAACTTTGACAAAGAAAAAAAAAAGTTGGCCACTCACCTCCTTTGATATACTCTTAAAACATTTAAGTGGTCGTTGTTTTGTTTTGGGGTTTTGGTTTGTTGGGTTTTTTTTAGTCATATGTTGTCTTGTTTTTTCTGACCTGTAGGATGTCTTTTCATGGAACTGTAGGAGTTAAGTAAGGTAGATAGATCCTTTTTTAAAAAAAAAAACAAAAACAAAAACAAACACAAAAATACATTGTTCTACTATTTTGTTATTTTTTTCCACTGAAATAAATTGGAAACAAATGAAGAGAAGATAGCCCTCTTTAATCATTCTTTTTATGATAATTGAAAAATGGATCCCTCTATAGCATGGTGATACAAACAGGGAATCTGGAAATTGAAGAAAGACTTTTTTTCTTTTCTTTTACAGAAGTCCATTATTGCTTCTCTAGTGACTTCAGTTCCACACCATTTATTTATTTTCTTTCTTGCTCTTACACCTTAGTCTAAATTTATTGTGGTGCCTTGATTCATGATATGCCCTCTTAGTCAGTTAAGCACCACCAGAACTAATGGGCACTATTGGACTTCAAGGGAGAAAGATGGACAGTCTCCTTCCAGGTGATATGCTGTTGTTGATTGCTGTGGAGTCAAGCATGACTCATAGCGACCCTATGAACAAAAGGCTTGAAGCCTTTCTATAGCTATCAACATTTGTCAAAGTTCATAGGCAGCCTCTGAAAACCCATTTGTGGGTGAGCAATCAGTTCCAACTTGAAGGCAATAAGAGTGGTGGAAAATACTGACTTTTAATGGCTAGAAATACATTTTCCCCCCATTCCACACGTATGTAGTTCTACTTAGCTAGTTCTCACAAAGATGTACTTGTGGCCTTCTAAATTCATAATTACATAGAACATTTTCTCTGTGTGGAGAAATAGAGAACATAAAAGAGTATATGTTTTGGCATAGATAAGGGATTTTTTTTTTTGGCATATCAATTGAGACTACAAAAAAACCTGAATTGCAAAATTTTATGGGCAGTGGGTACTCTTCGTTCTTACATTTGCCCACCACAAATGACTAGTTTGCTCGTTTCCAGTGAGAAAAGAATTCTGCGTTTTTCTAGACCAGTACTAGAAAAGCATTTTTTTTTTGGTTGAAAGCTTTTAAATTAATTTCTTTTTAAAGGTGGAACACTTAGATGAAAAAAAAAATTACCTTCTAGCATAGGGTTCCTATGAGTTGTACTTGACTCAACAGCATCTAACAACAGTAACAACATGCTGTCTTAGAAAAAGAATTTAAACTACTTGAATCCAGCTGTTGTCTTCAATGTGAGCACAACTCAGTGGCCCTATGAACAAAAGGCCTGAAGCCCCTCGGCAACTATCAACATTTATCAAAGTTCATAGAGTTTCCAGAGGCATGTTGTTTAGGATGTGGATGCCACTCCTGCTACCAAACCTGTCATAGTATGTTATTGTTGTTATGTGCCGTTGAGGCCTGCAATACTTTTAGCAACCCTAAGTACAGCAGCTCTGAACCCTTCTCTGTCCTGAGCCAGTCTCACTAACTGACACACCAGCCCCAGTCACTGTCTCAATCCATCTTATCCAGGGTCTTCCTCTCCTGCGCTGTCTGTCCACCCTTGTGAGCATGATGTCCTTCTCCAAGGACTAACCTTTCCTGGTCACCTGCCCAAAGTAAGTGAGGTAGAGCTTCAAAATCCTAGTCTCCAAGGAGAGACCTGGTTTCACCCTCTCTATGACAGACTAATTTGTTTTCTTGGCAGTCCATGGTATGTTCAATATACTCTTATCCAGGAGCTCTCTCAAGCATATCAAGTAATTGAGAAGACCATGGCCTGGATTAGGCACACCTTTGTCTCTAGACTGACATCATTGCTCTTCAGCACTCTGGAGAGGTCCATGACAGCAGACTTTTCCAATGCAGTTCAACTTTTGATTTCCTGATTGCCGGTGTTAAGAGTGTTGATTTTGGATCTGGGCAAACTATAATTGCTAACAACCTCAATCTCAATCTCTTCTCCATCTATTATGGTGCTGCCAACTGGCTCAGTGGTCCAGTAAATGTTATAAATCTTGAGTTTTGTGAGTGAATATTAGGGATACCAGTTTTCAGTGAAAGTGAAGGTGATGCTTTAAAGCATATATTTCTTATGTGGCAGCACATTCATATAAGCATAGACATTTTAGTTTCTTAGACTGAAAAAGTAGTGTTTTTCAAAGTTCAATTTTATCTCATAATTATAGATGCCCCCTGTTAAGAATGAAACCATAGCTTTCACACAAATCCCTTACACAGCAACTTCTCCTCAGTGTCAAGTACTGTTGCTTTTGTTGTTGTGTACCATTGAGTCAGAATTTACCCAGAGCTGACCCTCCAGTGGGTTTTTGGAGGCAGTAATTACTACCGAATTGCCGTTTTCTTCCAGACACAGACTTTGTAGAGCTATTTCTAGGGTAATTCTCACACCACAGAATTACCCTAGATAAGGACCTGGAACCATTGACAATGACATCAGCTCTTTAGAATAATTTCCTAGCAAGCTGGCACTTGTTGTTGTTGTTGATTCTATTTAGGACATATTATTTCCCATCACACCAAGTTCTCAGAGTATGTTTATGATGATGAAGAACAAAACACTTGATCATCAGTGCTTTGGGACAACTGTACGAAGACGGTCTTTGTATTCTTTATGTCTCTAGCTTAAAGTATGAGATGTCAGCTTGTGAAGTGCCATGCCTGTCTGGTGTCCTGTGATTGCTGGCTCACCTGCTGCTGTGTCTTGTGTACCAGCTGCTGACTTGTCGTGCACTGCGGGTGTGTTAATTGTAGTAATGCACGTTCTAATTCATCCCGCCCATACAGTCTGTCTGCTGGACACAGGACTGTTTTCCGTTTCCTTCTTCCAACCGTCTGCCAAATCATTTCAGAATACATTCTTTCATACGCCCCGGCTCTCAAACCATTTGGAGCAAAGTCCCTCACCTACTCCAGAGAGACTTCGTCAGCCGTAGTGGAAGGTCTGCAGCCTGGAGAACGCTATCTTTTCAAAATCCGGGCCTCCAACAGGAGAGGACAGGGGCCTCAGTCCAAAGCCGTCATTGTCGCTATGCCAAGTAAGCATCCTGCATCCTGCTCTCTCCCCTCCCATTGTCATTGCTGCTGCTTGTCTTGTGTTTTCTTGACTCATTGTCAGAGCTTAGATCGTCTCGGTTAATGATTTGTCAGATTTAATTTTGCAAATGGATTTTAACAGTAACTGTATATATACTTTAAAAATATGCTAAAATATGCTCCCATTATCAATGAGTCTGCAACAAAATTGTTATTGATTGCATGCCACTCTTCAATTCTGAGTTTACTACAGCAGGAAAAGACTGCTTTTAGAAGTGGATTGTGACATTTTAAATTGTTACCCTACTTAGGGTGTTCTCATTAGCTTCTAAATTGCTAGTAGAATTTTGAGTTTCCATTCCAGTATTTTGAAGCAGCACTACACCCAGAAAAAGCCTTATGTACCTAGTGTATTTGATTAATATAAAACCCAAACAGGTTAATAAAGACCCAAAAGTGGGAGGAGGTTCTTATGGTTTTCTTTTTCTATTTCTTCACATTTATGACAATTCATCAGCAGTTCTCTCCCTCGCTGTGCACTGTAAGGGTCTACTGTCCACTGCAGTACTGACCAGTCTCATCCTGGAAAAAGACCTCAGAAATAGAGGCTTGCTTCTTCTGGATCCCCATAGCTATGTCAATTACCCTTCCTTTACACACACACACCCCCCAAGGAGCCCAGGTGGTGTAATGTGGCATTTGCTGGGCTGCTAACCACCAGGTCAGTGGTTCAAATCCACTAGCCACTAGATGGGAGAAAGGAGTTATTCGCTGAGGTTAAGATCTACAGACGAGCGAGAGATAAGTGAAAAGTTTAAAAGCGATATATGATACATGGTTTTGACAAGAGTCCAGAATGAAGGTTGCATAGTGGAATGTACTTGGGAAGAGGGGGGATTGTATTCCAATGAAAGAATTTTCCTTTTCAAAGAGAAGAGCAAACTTGGGGAGAGGGGTGGGCAGGGAGAAAAGTGCAACAATGAATGAATGGAAATCCAAAATCTCTGTAAACGTTCATTAAAATTAATAAAAAAAAAAAGACAACAACGTACAGCCATTGAAACTCAATGGATGGTTGTCAGAAGTTAGATTTGGCTCCATAGCAGTCATCCGCATTTCCTCAGTTTATATGCTCTTAAGAAATAGTAAATGATTGAGCATACTGTAGGTAGGATTTTTTAAAAATTGATATTTTAATGCAAGTTTATAAAGAACTTGGGTTTCCAATCCTTCATTGTTGCACATTTCTGTCCCTGTCCCTCCCCCCATAGCTTTTTTCTTTGATATAAGTATGATTTTTTTACCTCTGCTGGAGTCTTACTGTGGAATTGCAAATGTGTTCCTCATTAAAGGAATTTTAAGTGAGAACGAAAAAGCAAGCGAGAACATACTAGAAGCATAGCAAACTCTTTGCAGTATCTCAGAGATTACAAACGTGTTGCTCCGTCATTTGCTGGAGAAGCAGACCCAGCTCATTCCCCGGGGCATGCATTATTCAACACTGTGTAAAGGCTTATCCGTATTTCTGACATACATTGTTCAGAGTGATGAGGCTTCCTTATAATAAAATCTGCCCTAAAATTTTACATTTACAAAATCACAATTTATCTCAAAAGACCTTATTCCAGAAGTCCTTTAAAATGATTTCATAAACTTACTTCCATTTACAGAAAAACTCAAATCATTTATATCGTCTAGGGATATATCTATTACTTACAGAAAAATAAGACTTCCAAGTGAAAGAAAAACATCGAAGAAATTGTGACAGGAAAATAAGTGCCCAGTGTTCCAAGGGAAGGAGCCCTCGTGGTGGTGGTTGTCAGGTGCCATCCAGTCCCACTCATGGGGACCCTACGAACTGCAGACCTGAGCCCTGGCCTGGCCTGTGCCATCCTCCTCATCTCTGTAGAATTGGGTTAACTGGTCAGCTGTTAACGGAAAAGTTGTGGTGGTGGTGGTTGTGCACAATTGGGCAGAAATCAACCCAGAGCTGAGCCTCCAGCAGGTGAAACCTCTGGAAAGAGGCAGTAAATAGCACAGGAGGAGATTGCCCGTCTTTCTTCTGCAGAGCAGCTGGTGGATTTGAACCTCACGGCTCTGGGATTGTAGCGCAGCTTCTTACCACTAGGCCACCAGAGCTCTCCCTAAATGAAAAAAATAGATTTGACTCCACCCACTAGCTGCTGTTCAGGAGAATAATGCGGCAGTCTGCTTCTTTAATGGTTTACAGTGTTGGAAAGGCCGTGGGCATGTCTACTCTGTCCACTGTTTGCTTACATGCCTTTGGGAGGGGAGGGGTTGTTCCTAAGGAATTATAATAAACCATCAGTTAACAACAATTGGAAAGTTTGCCCGCACTGTCATCTTCCGTCCTCTTTCTGTGCCGTCTGGCTTTTGAATTTCTACTTCCATGACGATTAATTCTTGCAAATGTTGTTACAGCCAGTGCCCGCAAGCCTCCAGTGGATCAGGAAGAGGACACAGAGGAGGAGCTCGCGAGACCAGAGCCGTCCAGACGGGTCCCTGCCTCCACACCACACACTCGCTGGCCTGCTTCTCCCCAGAGCAGAGTGGCCAAGAACCCCCTTCTGGACCTGAAGAACAAAATTCTGGCAAATGGGGGTGTGCCCCTAAAGCCCCAGCTCCCACCTCAAAGGAATGACCACTTGGACCTCCAGTCCACAGAGGTCACCGAAGAGGAGTCCCGCAAGGATGAAACCACCTCATCCTCTGAGACCCAGGACCAAAAGCGACCCCTGAGGCCCCCACCCCCCAGCAGGTTCTCCCCCGCTGGCCCTCCTCCTGGGAGGACTCCAGTTCGAGCACCTGTGTTACCCCGAAAGGAGGCCAAAGATGAGCAGGGGTCCCCTCGAGTCTCTCAGCCCATGGGGGAGGCCTCTGTCGCATCCAGCCCCACTGCCAACCAGCCGCCCCGACGCCCCTCTGCACACCTGGTGGCCAACAGCGCAGACAATGACTCCGTCGATGAAGATGACGAGGAAGGGCATGCTGCCCCCCACCCCAAGGCTGAGACGCCCCACAAGCTGCCCTCCAGGAGGCCGATGTCCAGCGTTGTGCGGGAAAGAAGCCGGTTGCACCCTGAAAGGAGGCCAGCCCCATCCCCAGGTCCACCCTCCAGACTGTCCCCGCTTGGGGCCACCCCCAAGCCGCCACCATCTGCACCGCATGCAGGCGCCCCCTTCTCCAGGGGTCTCAAAGATGACCACGATGTAAGTGTGCCCTCACGTTCCACGGTGGCCTCCAGGACACGGGTCACGGGTGGGGACAGTGACAATGACGCGGAATACAGAGGCAGGCAGACAGAGGCCCCTGCTCCCACGCTCCGGGCCCGGCTGCCCGCCAGTCGGCCTGGCTCTGGACACCTCAGTTTTTTCAGACACAGGCACTTTGGTGCCAATGGTCGCTATCCGAACAGGTTTGGCAGTGGCAGGGGCCTGCGCTTGCAGCCTTCCAGTGCCCCCCAGGCCACCACGTCCTCCCGAGTGGCCTCCAGGGTGAATGCTCCCCCGACCTCCGGCCAGCGGCGTGGCTCGAGTGTCCATGGAGATGAAGACGCGCAGACGGACTCAGAGGACGAGCGGCCACTTCCTGCCACTGTCACCAACGACGTGGTGGCCTCCTCCTCCAGGCAGCCTCCCTCCAGGAGACCAGACCACCTCTGGAGGGCCCCGCAGAGAGGGCCCAGCACTCACCGCCAAGACCCCAGGTCCACATCGCCATCCTCCGCAGCACAGGACAGTCAACAGAGCTCGGACACTGAGAACAAAGGATCCCAAGCACAGCCAGTGTCCCCGGGGCGCCCACCCTCCCAGGTGCGGCCACAACCCCACTCTGGGCCCAGTGTCCCCAGAAGGACGGTCCCTGGCCAAGGTCTGGGCGCCAGAGTCAATGGCCCTGAGAAACACCTGTGGCCACGCCGCCCTGTGTCCCAACCTCAGTCCCGGGGGCACCAGGACAAGGATTCCAGACACGAGGAGCCTCATCCTGGAGGTTCCCAGGACGACAGCTCAGAAGAGGCGGCCCAGGACGTGCGTCTCCCTTCGCGCTCGACGCCAGAAGACGAGACCCTCTCCAAACACCGCCAGCTGGACCCCAGGGCCCGCCTCGTCGACGACAAGGCCCGCGACCGCCACGTGGTGCATCCCAGGCTTCCTGGGCGCGCACAGCCCGCAGTGGAGCAGGGCCCCGGTCAGGCCACACCCCGAGAGCCGCCTGCATCCCCGGAGGCAGAGGAGGAGGAGGACGTGCCTAGGGGCCCGGGGCTCCCCAGCCGCCCCCCGCCCGCGCCCTCCACACCCCCTCCGCCCCCCACGCCAGCGCCCCCCAGCCTAGTGTCCACCACGCCCATGCTGTCCCTGCGCCAGCGCATGATGCAGGCGCGCTTCCGGAACCCGCTGCAGCGCCCGCCCGCCAGGACGCCCGCCAGAGCAGGTTGTCAGGACTGTGGTTTGCAAAATGTCTGTAGCCATGGTGTTATCAATGAGTTCTGATAGCTCAGAGGTTTGCACCCACCAGCTGCTGCGCGAGAGAAAGAGGTGGCTGTCTGCTTCACCACTGACCCAAACCCAGTGTGCGCACGTGCGTTCTGACGCGTGGTGATCCATGGGGCTGCCCCACTCCCTCCTGTAGGTCGCTGTGAGTTGGATTCAACTTATGTGCCATCGAGTCGCCAAGGACCCATGGCGACCCTATGTACAGCAGCTCTGAACTCTACCCTGTCCTGAGCCAGTCGCACTAGTTAAATGCACCAAATCTTAGGCGACTCATAGCGATCCTATGAACGAAAGTCCTGAACACTTGCGTGACTTTCATCCTTTCTCCAGGTTCACTAACGGGCATTTTTTTTTAATGTTCCATACAGTTGCTAAGATTTTTATGTCATTGAGGACACTGCAGTGTTCAGGCTTACAGCTGTAACATAATGCTGTCCTCTTACTCATCCTCTGGCAAGAAGCCTGGTGACATAAAGTATCAGGTTTCTAATGGAAAAGTGGGCAGTTCTAAGCCACCAGCTGCCCCGTGAGGGAAAGATGAGAGGCGCCCTGTAAAGCTTTACCGGCTCTGAGGAACCCACTGCAGGGCTGCCAGTGGGTGGAAGCAGGCAGATCGCAGTGGGTTATTGGTTTGCCCTCCCCCCTGGGGTTTGCACAGTGGCCCCTGGGTTTTCAGATGAGGGACCATCAGAGGTTGGGGTGGCTTGGCTGAGGTCAAACAGCTGAGCAGTACCAAGCTGCCACACTGGACCCCAGAGCTCTGATTCCACAGCCCTCTTATTCCACCTTCCACACTGCCTGCCTGCCTACCTTCACAGATGTTCCTGGTGTGTTCTTTGGTGCCTTGTTGGAGATTCTAACATATGGTAGGGAAGTGTGATGCCCACCTGTAGTCAGGCAGTTTCTCCTACCAGCTGCCCCATGGGAGAAGGATGGGCAGTCTCCTCCTGTGTGATTTGCTGCCCCTGAAAACCCCCTGGTGAGTCTATTTCAACTTCGTGGTATAACAATCCCAGCAGCCATGCCAAGGTCACGTTCTCATATCTGAAGTTAGGTTTGGTTGTGCATGGAGTTCTGTGTCTCAGGTCCTTTGTCTACTAAGCAGCCAGCATGTATTGGGAAAATGCAGTCATTAATGAGATCTTGAAGCTTGGCCTTGTTGGTTCTGCATAAAAAAACCCTCGACGGAGTAAACCCTGGGACAAACTACTTTCTTGGGTATGAATACCTCAACAAAACAAGCAGCTCCTTAACATCGAGTCAGAGCCAACTCAGAGCCAACCCCTGGTGCATTTTCAGAGGTGGTAAATGGAATAGGAGGAGACTGCCCATCGTTCTCCCACAAAGCAGCTTCTGAATTTGAACCACCTGCCTTTGGGTTGGCAGCACAATTTCTTACCCACTAGGCCACCAGAGCTCCCTCTGAATACCTGTTGTTGTATGCCAGGGAGTTGTAACAGACCCATAGCTGACCTTCCAGCAGGTTTTCCGAGGCAGTTAATCACACAACTGGGAGATTGTGCATCTTTCTCCCTTGCAGTAGCTGCAATAAATGAATGTTGCCTAAAAGCATAAAGTCCTTGTGGAAGATGAGAGTCCCACAGAGGAGCCAAAGCCCACAAGGGCCTTAACTTTGTGCAGCAGGAATCAGAGAGAGAGAGAGAGAGAGAGAGAGTACAGACAAGACTGAGCTTGGATCTGCTTGGCTTTCTGGGTGAGAGTTAAGGGACTCACCTTAAGTCGTCGCTGGCTCTCTTTTTGTGTATAATTGCTAGGGACACATTGCTCTCAAAAAGCCCGTTGCTATTGGCTGTGAAACTACTCGTAACTGACCTTCCACTGGGTTCCTGAGACTGCATTGAGTGAGGAGGCGTGGCGCATGGGGAGGGTTGAATTGCCGGAGAGGCGCAGTCTTTGGGGTAGTAGCTGAGTCCTTGCACACTGGGCATTAGTGTATGCCCTGCACACCGTGCGTTCGCATATACCAGCCTGTGCACTGTATCTTTTTTAGACCAATGTGAAGGCGTATAGTTTGTTCCATGTTAAGTTGCTAACCAAAAGGTCAGAAGTTGTAATCCATCCACTGCTCTGCGCCAGAAAGATGAGCAGTCTCCTCCCATAAAGATTTACAGCTCAGAAACCTCCCTGGAGGGTTACTACAAGTCAGAATCCACTCTAAGTCGAGAGTCGGATTGTTGTTGTTTAAGTGATGAGGACAGATACAACAGTGCCCCACAGAGATGTCAGTGTCCTGTTAACTAAACCTGGCGAGCTGCAATGGAGTTAATTTGGATTTGTGGGGCCAGTCTGGGAGAAGGACTTCATGCCTGGAAGGGTCAAAGGCCAGTGAGGGAGGGGAAGACCCTGGCTAAGATGAATTGTTGACACAGTGACTGTGGCAATGAGGTAAAGTGTGTCAGAGACAGTGAAGTTGGCCCAAGGGCAGGGCAGGGGTCAGAGCTGTTCATAGGTCACAATGACTCATAGTGAACTTGACGAAACAAAACCAACAACAAACATCACTTGTATCAGAGTAGAACTGTGCTTCACGGGGTTTTCAGTGGCTGATATTTTGGAGATAGATCTTCCGACCTTTCTTCCTGGGCTCTTCTTGGTGGACTTGAACCTCCAACCTTTTGGTTAACTGGACATGTTAATTGGATCACCCAGGCAAATCTAAGATCTTAATGTTCTTTTTATTTTTTTTATATTAATGTTCTTATGTTTGTCAAATCATAACCAACTCATCATAGCTGGTCCTCCAGCAGGTTTCCAGAGGCAGTAAATCACACAGGAGGAGATTGCCTGTTTTTCTTCTGTGGTGCAGCTGGTGGATTAAAATATAGGTGTGGAACCCACAGTCCCTTGTATACAGTAGGAGCTTGATAAATAGCTAATCAATAAATGACTGTGTGAGAGAAATGTTTCTGACCTGCAAATAGTTGTCAGAAAGCCAGAGTACCTTCACAGTGGGCACGGCTGACCTGGGAGAGCTCCTAGCAGAGACCTCCCGCTGTTGTAGCTAGTCAGACACAGCGGGAGACGAACATCTCATTGAGGTGCAGGCTGAACCTTCTTACTAGCCAGGCAGATGCTCTGTCATCCAGTCAGATCTCATGATGGCCTCACGTGTCACACAGAGAACTTCTCCCTACCGTTTTTTTTAGCTGTACTCTTCATGATCACCAGGCCTCTCTTCCAAGGTGCTGCTGGATTGGTTCAAACCACAGGTCTTTAGACATAAAAACTATGCCTCTTAGCAAATACTTCTCAAACAGTCCCAGAGGTCAGTGAGTTCTGAGCCAGCATTGTGCACATACACGTGTAGACTTGGTGAATATGGCCTGAGTAAGCTAGGAAGCACGGTCCAGTCTAGTGTAATCTGTTATGAGGAGGGAGGAAAAATCCATTACATGTTAGAGTTGTCTCTGCCCTCCTACCCCTCTCTCTCTCCCTTCCTCCCTCCCTGTCTCTCTGATTTCCATTTGGCTAAATCAAAGCTATGGCTACCAAGATTGTAAGTTTTAATTGCATTATTTCCTTGAAGAAGGACACCATGCTTGGACAGGTAGAGGGACAGCCCAGGAGAGGAAAACCCTGGACGAGATGCACTGACATAGCAACTGGGCTAATGGGGGTAGGTGTGTTGGAGGCAGTGAGACGGCTCAGGACAGGGCAGGCTTCAGAGCCGTTGTGAATATCGTCACTATGACTCACAGTCAACTTGACAGCACATAACAACAGCAACAAATTATTCTGACCACTCTCTTTGCCTCAGTAATGTCAAGAAATGTGACTTGATTGTACTTTAATTGGACATGCATTCAAGTTTGCTGTAGAACTCTTGGTATACGAATGTAGTTAGGTACTTTTGCACCCAAAGGTGATTGTTTTTGGTGAAACATTCTTCTAGGTCGTAACCTAATTCAGATGTAACCCTGGTGTGTCCAATTGCTGTACAGAGGTAACTCGTGGTTGCTGTGAAGCTGAACAGTGTGACACTGATGAGTTAAATGCGAGAATGGTTAACCGTGGTGGACAGTGTTTGGTGAAGCTCCCCGATTAAAACAAGCTTGGAAGCAGGAGTGGTATCCACTTCCACAATAGCTTGCCTCCGGAAACCCTAGGAACCTGGAGATAGGACAAAAGTTATATAGGAGGTGTCCAGGACTTTCGTTCATATGGTTGCTATGAGTCACTTGCGACTCGACGGCACTTAACAACAACAACAACAACAACAACTATTGCATTGGAGTCAACCCATGGCTGACCCTCAAATGAATTTTCAGAGGCAGTAAATTACATGGGAGGAGTTTGTCCATCTTTCTTCCACAGAGCAGCTGGTGGATTCAAACCATGCTGGCAGTGCAATTCCTTACCATTAAGCCACCAGAGCTTTCTGGTTGGACTGCCATCACACCATATATGTCAACCACTGGAGGCCGTGATGCTGTTTTGCTGTCAAGGCAACTTCCCAGATATGTTGAACTCATCAGTCTCTGTTATTTCATTTTCTTTTTGTACTCTGTAGGTTATAATGGCAGACCCAACATCGAAGGGAACACTCTTCCGGGTAGTAATGGAAGACCAAGTGGACAGAGAATTATCAATGGCCCTCAAGGAACCAAGTGGGTAGGGTGAACCTTTTTACATGTGCAGTTGGAAAGAGAAAAATGGTGGGCATGGTGGACAAAGAAACAATGTTGTTTTCTCTTTCTCCCTTAATTATAGTCACTCCATGAAGATCCTTGTATATATCTTTTCTTTTAGTGCTCAGAAAATTCTTTGGTTCTCTGAAGTAGTTAGTATTACTTCTTCTTCTAATAGCTAATAAGAAGAAACCCTGGTGATTGAGTGTGTAATGTCTTGGGCTGCTAACCGAAAAGGTGCCAGTTTGAATCCACCAGGAGCTACTCAGGAGAAAGATGAGAAATTTGTTCTCAAAATTATGTTCAGTCTCAGGAACCCAGAGGGGTCCCTGCAAGCTGGAACTGGCTCACTGGGAGCAGCTAGGAGCCAAGACGAGACGCCTAAGTGCAATGTCCTCCTTTCCTTGACTTCGAAAGAGATTTCATTAAATTCGTGGCCCAACCGCAGCAATTACACAGAGCCTGACAAGGGGTCTCCCAAGAGACCTTATCCTGATAGCTTTGTTTTATATTTGTTACTATTTCAGTAAACTCTCTAAAACACCAACCACAATTCACCATCATTGGGTTGGAACTGACCCGTGGCTGACCCTCCAGCAGTTTCTGGGGGCTGTGAATTGCACAGGAAGAGAGGGCCCCTCATTTTTCAGCAGAGCTGCTGGTGGATTCAAACCCCCGGAGAGGCACTGTCTTGGGTGAATGGCACAACTGGTGACCTCGTCTGCAGGATGTTGCGCTGTTCGCTCAAAGGTGGTGCCGCTCCAGCTGCTGTTGGAATAAACCAGCAGCTCTGCTGGAGAAAGATGGGCCGTCTCCTCTCACGTGATTTATAGCTTTTGAAAACCTACAGGAGGTTCAGCCGTGATTCAGTTCCAACTCAAAGATGATGAGATGAGTGAACAGAATGTTCTCAGGGTCAGAAATGTAAAATAGAAAGAGTATGTGCTAAAGCAAAGCGTCCTGGTCAATTGTGTGAATTGATGGTGGAAAAGGGTAGATTTCAAGAGCAGGGCTTCTATACACCCAGGGAGCTCTGGGAGTGTAGTCCAGGAGGAGCTGGGCTGCTAGCCCAAACGTGGCACCCCACTGCTGGTTCAAATCCACCAGCAGCTCCAAGGCAGAATGGTGGGCAGTCTCGTAGTGTGAGTTTACTGCCTCAGAAACCCAAGTGAGGGTCAACTGTGAGTTGGTTCCCACTTGATGGCAATGAGAGAGAGAGAGAGATAAAGTAGCCTGCTTGCACGGGTTCCTCATGTGGTCTGAAGGTTAAGTGTTCAATGTCACAGAGTTGAGTACAGCTCATCGCACCCTGTGAATAGCTGACCTGATCCCCGTCCTATCCTGTGCCGTCCCCATCATCTCTGACACACTAGGGCCTGTGGCTGAAGTCACCATGTCAGTCTCAATGGGGATCCTCCTCTCCTTTGCTGACCCTCCGTCTTTCCAAGCATGACGTCCCTTCCCAAGGAATAATTTTGCCTAAACTACATGTTCAAAGCATGATAGATGAAGCTTCACCTTCCTTGCCTCCAAGGAGCACTCTGGCTGCACTTTTTCTTCAACTACTTGCAGTGAACATGTATTGCTATTATACTAAAAGCATGAAATGTTTCCATTTTTCTGCCAAAGTGGCTATAATAGAAACCATTTAATACATAATTAAATTGCCTAATAACATGCATGCAAAAGGTCCATATTGTTAGGAATTTTAAATTTAAATTATAAACTATTATTTTTTTTCTGGTAAGGAACATGCTTAGGGGTCAGGCTGTTGGTTCTCAAAGGGCATCCTGTGGACTTAAAGGGCCTGACATTCCCTGGGAACTCGTTAGTCACGCAAATAGATAGGTCCTATCACAGTCCTTATTTGAAGGGTTCCCTCTCTCCACTGTCAGCCTAAATAACTAGACCATCTGCTTAATTTTAGCATTCGACACAATGCACTAAATGGTAAAAATATTTTTAGTGTCTTTTAGATATCTGAAAATGTAGAACAATCTACCTATTGTATGCAGAAGAAATGGCAACACAGAGCAAATAGGATGATTTTGTTCTTATTTTCTTTAAGCATATGAATGACAGTGGCCTACACTTTGATGGCTTCCTTCTGCAGAGGCTTCATGCATATGTATATGTGGTTGGATTAGCAGTGGATGTTTTGACCTACCGATACATTCTTTAATCTCTGTCATGGACTAGGTCGTGGATCTTGACCGTGGGTTGGTTCTAAATGCAGAAGGAAGGTACCTCCAAGACTCACAGGGCAATCCTCTCCGGATTAAACTGGGAGGAGATGGACGGACCATCGTGGGTAAGTTAGAATCACAACATGAAATGAGGGGATGATCAGACCCTGTGTGTATTGTAATTAACAATGTGAAACGGAACATGAGTAATTGATTAACTAGAGGCGGGGGGGGGGGGAAGCTAAGGAAAGATTTACCACAGACAGAAACAATCGTGGAGGATTGGCAGGGATGGGAGGAGAGCCGAGGTCAGCAGATGGATGATAGAAGGAAGGGAAAGGCAAGATACACAGTGAGAATTTGATGACACGTTGTAACACATGGCAGTGATCAATTGTAATTAATGTTATAGAACAGAGTATATGTGAGTGAAGGGAAGAAAACTCAATTGAAAAAACCCAAAATGTTAGGTGTGAAATAATCTCATCCTCCCTCCATTCTCCTTCTACTCCTTTCCCGATTCTCCTACATCCCCTTCACTTCCTCCTCCTCCCACTCCTCTTCCTGCACCGTCTTTTCCTCCTCACCTCTTCTTCATCCTCCTCTCTCGCGCCTTCTCCATCTCCTCCTCCCTGACTCCTCCCCTACTCCTTCTCTCCTCCCTTCCTCTTGCCTTCCTACCCTCCTTTCCTCCTCTCCTCTCCTCTCCTCTCCTCTCCTCTCCTCTCCTCTCCTCTCCTCCCTGTCTTCCCTCTTCCGCAGCTCCTTCTCTCTTTCTTCTCATCTCTCCTCTCCTCCCCTCCTCCTTCCCTCCTCTTTTTCTCCTCCCCCTCCTCCTTTCTTGCTCCTTCTCTCCTTCCCTCTCCTCTCTCCTATGCCTTCTCTACCTCCTCCACCCTCCCATCCCTCCTCCTCCACCTACACTCTTCTCTTCTTCCTTTTCCTCCTCCTCTGCATTCTTCTTGTTCTTTTTTTGCTTCTTCTTCTCCTCTCTCTCCTTTTCCTCTTCCATTTTCTCTCCCTCTTTACCCTCTCTTGTTCACTGACTTCTGGGGCCCTCTCCCATAGCCCCAAGGGAAGGAGACCCTCAAGAGAGACAGACCTTAGTGACTTAGTCCCAGTACGACTTGGGTATAATCTCCCTACAGACTTCACCCTTTAAAAATGAGACTTGGTTCTGACGTCACCTGCATGGGGAGCATTCCCCTGGGTGAGACAGGGGCAGGCATCTGGGCTGGGAGATGTGCTTGCTTCAACTAGTTCTACACTGGGGGGTGGCATTTGCCCTGGTGTCACCCAATAAAATGTCTGTTACTTTAAAAAAAATGAGACTTGGTCTTCTGGTCTTGAAACCATGCTGTCTACAGAGTAGGGGTCAGCAGATGACAACCTGTAGATCAAAACCTACTTGGTGTCTTTGTGTATCCTGTGAGCTAAGAATCCCTCACTCAATCTCATTGCTGTAAATTCTCAGGAGGAGATTGCTCATCTTTCTCCTTGAGTTTGCTGGTGCATCTGAACTAGCAGCTTTTGGGTTGGTGGCATGACTCCCTACGTTGTAGCCAGAGCCCCATGAGCTAAGAACAACTTTGACATTTAAAAATTATTGGGGAAAGGAATAAAAAGAATAGTGGTATTTATGATACCTGAAAATTAAATGACAGTCAAATTTTAGGGTCCATAAACTTAGTCTTATTGGATCATAGAAACTCTCACTGGCATAAGCACTAGGGGGTAAGTTGTAGCAGAGACCTTCTGGTCCTCAAATGTTTATTCTCTGGCCCTTTAAAGAAACTGTTTTCCATTCCTGGACTGTAGCACCACTTTCCCCCCTAGGTGTAGGAGGGAAGAGCAGGAAAGGATTACATTCCCTAATTGGACGTGCTCACCAGTCTGTGCCAAGAAATTTGGAAGACAGCTACCTGGCCAACTTACTGGAAGTGAACCCTATTTGTTCCCATTCATGAGACAGGTGATCCAGCAGCATGTGGAAATCATTGATTAATATTTTTAATACCACATGCAAGTAAAATCTTGCTAAAGATTATCCAAAAATGGCCAGAACAGGTCATCGGCAGAGAACTTCCAGGAGTTCACACTGAATTTAAAAGAGGTTAGGGAAATGTCTAACCAAAATCACATGGATTAAGAAATTGTGGTACATTCACACAATGGAATAATATGCAGCACTCAGGAGCAGTGATTTTGAAAAACACTACCTAACTTGGGAGGAGCTCATCATGCTGAGTGAACTACCCCAGTCCCATAAGGACAAATACCGTATAATACTCGTATTGTAGATAACTAGTAAATCATGTATGAAGATCTAAGGAGAGGAAGGAGGGGCAGAGGAGTGACAATGGGCAGGGGGAAAATTATAAGGTAGTACAATTTGATGGATGGAGGGCAGGGTGGATAAAGGAAACGGAAATGATCTGGCAGGAATCTGGAAAAATAGGCTACTGGTGGGCATAGTTCAATGTTGATTAATTTTATAAAATATAATGAATTAGAATGATTGTATGAAACACAGAGTGAATGAAGCAGAGTGTGAAACACAATGTGTACAAACTTTGTAAGCACATCAATATAAAATTTAAAAAAAAATCACCAAAAAAATAGAGGCTGTGGCACCAAGAATATCATTGTGGATGTCAGATGGATCTTAGCTGAAAGCAGAAAACAACAGAAGAACCCTTATTTGTGTTTTATTAACTATGCAAAGGCATTTGACTCTGTGGATCATAACAAATTGGGGCTAACATTGAGAGCAACAGAAATTCTGGAACCCTTAACTGAGCTCATGCAGAACCTATACCTAGACCAAGTGGAGGCGACTGTGTGAATAAAGCAAGGGAATTCTGCATGGGTTCAAATAAAAAAAGATATTTGTAGCAAAACTGGAATGCCAACTGCAGAAAGCTGAAACAGAGTCCACATCTCACACCATACACAAAAAATCACCTCAGGGTGGATAAGAGACTTGGGAGTAAAGACCAAAAACCATAAAGTTCATGAGAGACAAACGGATCAAGTTTAGAAGCTCTTCTAGTCGATGGTATAAAGAGACTACCATGTACAGCCAGAAATGTACAATCTGAAGAGGAAAAAATTGATGAATGGGACCTTCTAAAGATTAAATCCCTTTGTTCATCAAAAACTTTTTCCAACAGGGTGAAAAGAAAACCTACCTACTGCCAAACCTACATTTGGCAATACCATCTCAGACAAGAATCTCACAATGAAAGTTTATAGAATACTCCTCAGCCTCCACAGGAAGTCTGATAACCTAATTACAAAATGGGCAAAAGACATGAACAGAATTTTCACAGAGAAAGATATTCAAATGGCCAACAGACATATGAAGAAATGCTCCAAATCACTGGCAATGAGAGAATGCAACTCAAAACCACAATGAGATGCCATCTCACTCCAGTAACAATGGCAAAGTTTAACACGTTGCCACACACTTTTAAATTGATGACCGTGCTTAGAAACATGTTTGTTCCCCCAATGTATTACTGTCATTTGCGGCAACATGTTAACAGGATAGCAAGTAATAAATGTTGGAGAGGACGTGGTGAGATAGGAACTCTTCTACGTTGTTTTTGGGATTGTACAATGGTACCACCACTCTGGAAGGCAGTTTGGTGCTTCCTCAAAAAGCTGAACATAGACATTCTATATGACCCTCGCTATTCCATTACAAAGAATATACCCCAATAAAATGAGAACTGCGGAAACTTGTACACCATTGTTCATAGCAGCAATAATCACCATCGCAAGAGCATGGAAACAGCCCAGATGTCCAACCACAAACAAATGGATTGAGAAATTGGGTATATTCATACAATAGAATGCTATGCAGCATGCAGGAACAGTCATTTTATAAATTACTACTTACCTTGGGAGGGACTGGAGAGCATTATACTGAGTGAACTAACTCAGTCCCACAAGGACAAATACTGTATATAACCATTATTATAGAATGAGTAGGGGGATACAAGGTAGGGGGGAATAGAGGAGTGAATATGGGGGGTAGGGTGTTAATCACAGGGTTGTATAATTCAATGGGTGGGTGGGGTGAAGGAAATGGGAAGGAAGTTTTGTGAAAAACAATGTATTCCAATTTTGTAAATAAATGAGAGTTGTTGTTGTTGTTGTTATGTGCCATCAAGTCGTTTCCGACTCATAGCGACCCTATGCACAACAGCTCTAAACCCTGC